ACGATCTTGTAGCTGTGAGGCGACAGTGCTAACCACCAAGCCACCTGGCAGCCCAGTATACAACATGCACCCAACTATCCATATAATGTAAAACAAAACTTTCATGTATCCATCGTAGTTGGCCGTACTTTTCTGTAATTTGTGCTATAGTAGTTCTTGTATCCGATCAGACAACACGGTGCCCCATTTGCTCCCCACGTGCATCATTGAGCCTCTTGGGCCCATGACCCTGTTGTTGGTTCACCAGCTGTGCTACCTTGGACCACTTTTGGTGGGTACTAACCACTGCATACTGGGAACACTCTTCCACATCTGAAGATTCGGAGATGCTCTGACTGAGCTTCATAATTTCTCCCTTGTCAAAGCCACTCAAATCCTTGCGCTGCCTATTTTACATGCTTCCATCACATCAACTTCAAGAACTAACTGATCACTTGCTGCCTAAAACATCTCATCCCATGACAGATACCATTATAACAAGATAATTAGTGTTATTCACTTCACCTGTCAGCGGTTTTAATGTTGTGGCTGATGTGCATTTCACCTTAATAGGGCTCTAATGCTTCAGTGGCCCCGTTTACTATATGATGTCATACTCTTTAATGTATTTTTATTTACGTGACAGCTTAAAAAGATCACACAACTGCAAATACAGCAGACAGAGCAAAACAAAGAGTATATATTTTAAGCATTTTCTCCTGGGAGCAGAGCTAAAGTTCAGCTCAGCAAAAAGTAGGACTTTTTTTTTTTTTTTTTTTACAAAGACTATGTCTGTATAACAAGCACAGAAATAAACCCCGGTTGTGACATCAAAGAGGAGGATGAGGCATAAGAAGTCAGCCAAATGAATTAGCCCAGACAGCTCGTCAGACCGGCAGACAGAGAGAAGGAGGATTCAGGAACATGGAGAGTGCAGAGTGACTGATACAGCATGAGGAGAGCCGCTAGAGGAAGGAGGTCACATCAACCTTCAAGACACAAATACTGCGCTTCATGTTGGAGAGAAGTTACTGATGTGAGCACGCCTGAGAACATGCCTGCATATTATATAACATCAAGGAAATCTTGTTCCGGAGAATGTTTTTTTTTTTACATCGAGACAGACGGCAGCATGTGCATACATTAAGACGAGGCTAGACCATATGAGCGATATAAATGCAACAGTGGCTTTCCTTGATGAGAAAATAAAAGGCATCGGTTGCATTTAGGGCTGACACGAACAATTACTTTCACTATTGATTAATCTGCTGGTTATTTTCTCCGTTGTTAAAATGTCAGAATAGTAGAAACTGCGCAATATAATTTCTCACAGCCTGAAATGTTGTGTTTATGAAGCTTGTTTAATTCAACCTAAGAGCCAAAGATCCTCAGGTTTACTATCATGTGACACCAAAAAGTTTCATAAAAAGTTTTTCTTAAAAGCTGAAACCAGTAAATATTCTGCCTTTTTGAACCACTTGGCATAGCTGGGGATGAATTTTGAATAGTAGCTGCATTAAGAAAACCCACTACATGCAAATGTTTTAGCATCAAAAGTCAAATAGTCACACTGAAGCGATGAACAATCTCTCTACAGGAAGCATTTTTATGTCTAAGCACAGGGCAGGAACCTTGCAATTTCTGCCATCTACCCCAATACAGTGAAGCCGAACTGAATTTAGTGTGAAATATTGAAAAAGCCCATTCAAATAACTCGGAGGCAATTTGTCTTTCCAATACCGTGTGTGATGTCCCATTACACTGGCTAAATCACAGCCCTCAGTGGGTACAATTTTCATTGAGGATGATAGGAAGTAGTCCCAAAGACTCTGCACCATGATCAAAATCCCATTTCTCCTCAAATTGTACTTGCAAAAGTTTCGAGAAGTAAAGCAAACTAAAGCTATGCAAGAAAATGGCTTTTTGTAATTCGGGGTGCACTGACACTTTGATAATCAGGAGGCCTGGCGACATGGAGAGAAAGAATAAAATAAGACAGAAACCGACTACCACACATCTCTACTGAAGAAATAGGCCCCATGAAATCTCACAAACTTTCCACATTTACCACAACTGCACTAAAACAACAACACAAGTGTCTCGACATGACTACATACAACATAAGGGTAAATGGGAGATTATCTATTTGTACTGAGACGAACAGATCATTTTCTGATGAGACTGCAACATGGCAATGTAGAAAAGACAATGGTACTAAAGAGACGGACACTACTCCATGAATACACATAGATAAGAATATAATAAATTACCTTGCTCTTCTTAGCGGCAAGCCCCAGTGAAATGACTCATTCTACGTGTAGTGAAACTAATAATGTCTATTTTCTAGTAACATTACACACATGAGCAGTGACTGAAGAAAGCAAAGCAGGACAGGACACATGAACGGCACTGTTGCCAGTGATGCAAAATGTCAACTTAGATTTGTGATATTTTCTGGTGCAGCATCATTTCTCTCTTTTTTTTTTTTTAGCAATTGTCCAAACTTTGTAGCGACATGTCCTCAACTGGCTGCAGTGACTGTAAAAGAGCAAAGAAGGGCGTCAAGTGGCATTGTTACAGAGCCACAGGTTCAGCATTGGGAGGTCAGGGTGAATGGACGGATGAAAAATAAAATAAAACACTACACTTTAACAAGGCGAACCTCTGTTCATTTCCAAACATCAATTGAACCGTGTACCTTTAAATGCCTTTCAACCAATGAGACTGTTCTGTAACCTTTGCTGCAAGTTTGTTATTGTTAGCACAACCAATAAGATCCTTGAGCTTTAACAAAGTATTTTATCACAAACCACAATCTTTCCCTAAACGTGCGTCATTGTGCAGCCTTCTGTGTATTATGACTCAGAAACCGTTTCAATACAAAACACCCTCATTTCATTTCAAATGTATTAAACTGCATTTTATAAGCAGGAATAATTTCATTTCTTTTTTTTAATGTTACAGTAGAAATTTCAACAGGAGCAAAAGAAAACGTAACAATTAAGGCATAAATACAGCAGATAGAGGATTTCGGGGTGGATGGATGGGTCAGTTACTATCAAGCTTTTATTTAATTAGTAGCTTAGAACTACTATTTCAAAACTTTGCTCATAACAGAGTAAAGCGACGGTGCTGACATTTGTTAAAGTTGTTAAAAATAGAGAAAATTCTAACTATTAAGTAGCATGTAGGGCCTAAGTTTACTGGAAAAAAATCTATATAGCTTAATGTAATGTTACATGGGTTTCAGTTTGTTATATGATACTTCATCACTCTTTTGGGAGACGGATGCAGTGACAAAACTGAACAGACTCTCAAATCGAAGAGCGACCTACAAAATTCCAAAAACCACATTAGTCTGCTATTTGACATCTGAAAAGGAATCCACTACCTATCCCTCTATGGATATCAGAAGCTGTACAGTCTGCAACAGGACGATGGATGGCCTCGCCGCTCGGCTCAGACACCGACACTTGCACAGATAGCTCACGCTGCTGTGGAAGTTACAATCCGCCATGCTGGAGAGCAGGCGTGTGATACCCCGAGTTAGTGCTCGTGTCAGTCTGAGCCCACTGTGCAGGCAAGTTTACAGCGGCACGTCATTCAAAAACCTATGTGACTTGTGAGGAATGAGCTGGTTGTTACTGTGTTTCTATCATATCATGGCTACAATATGAAGGCTGATAAAAATGCATCACACATTGCACAACCAGAAGCCATAACCTTGGCACTGCACTTGCCTTGCAGCGTGACGTTGATGAAAATTGATTAAATCTGTTGTAACAAAAAAAAAAAACAGCATGGCGAATGTTGCAAATGAATGCATGTGTGCAATAGATTACACCTCATCAGATGCTGCATCATGTATGTGTTGGAATCTGAGTGTGCACTTGTGTGTGTGTGTGTGTGTGTGTGTGTGCACATGCGGCATCTTGATATGTTTCCCCGTGCAGCTGGGAGGCTGTGTGTGATTGATACAGCTGCATGTGTGCAGTCAGGTCCCACTGAGCGATACTGAGGAAGATACCGGGCGAGCAGGGATACCTGGGAGTCTATTAGCTACCGTAGCCATGTCATGCTGCATGTGCAGGCTGGAGAAGACAAGGAGGGGAGACACTGCATTAAAAAAAATGACACAGGATATCCCAGAGTGTGTGTGTGTGTGAGTGTGGATGTGTGTGGAGGAGCAGAACAGAGCAGTCAGCGGCTATATGCAGCCAATCAATTCACCTGCACCAACAAGGGAGGGTGAAACACTGAAAAGCCGGGCTGTCTGTGTTATGGAGAGGGTTCCCTCGCCGGTTGATATATGTAGCAATCTGCAGCCCCACATCACAGCCTGAGCGAATACAAGCCCTACTGCGTTCATTGAGAAATTATGGCAAGCTCCGAGGGCCAGCCTGCTACAGCTATGCACATGCTGCTGCACTGTGGCTCTGATGATGGAGAGCTTTTTTTTTTTTTTTTTTTTTTTAGAGAGAGAGAGAGAGATGGGCCTGGCTGACATGCATACGCAATAAAACCTCACCTTTAACGTAGTGTTTGGATAGCTCACGGGCACCTTATGGAAAGTGCTGTTGGAGAGCACAGCCTGCCTGATATCTTCGAAGATGGTGATGATATCATCCAAGAGGCAGCGTTTGTCCCTGTGGCTCAAGACGCAGAGGTGCGCGAACGTGTAATTGAATCCCTTATAATTGACGCGCAGGTCCAGCACCTGCTTGTGGACCTGCAGGACCTGGTCGGCCAGCTCCAGGATGTTCCCCCCGGACTTGGCCAGCAGGATCAGCCTGCCATATCTGCCCGGGGTGTGCAAATCCGAGTACAGCTTGTGCTTCGACTGGTCGATGGGAAACAGGCTGTTGGCGAGACTCCGCTCGATCTTGGCGAGGCTGTGCGTCGGGGCGACCAGCACCTCCAGGTTCGTCTCCGGCTTGAATCGGCTGAGCACGGTAGATCCGAAAATGATGGTGAGGACGGCGGGGACGGTGAGGAAGAAAACGGGGTGCCTGCTAACGAATAAGCCCAGCCAGTAGAACGAAGCCTTGAGCCCTCTGTGTATCACTTGCCGCAGCATCCTCCACAAAATCCAGCTTGCAGATGCCCCGTCTCCTCCGATGAAGCACATGTGACATCAGACTCCGTTCCCCGGCTTTTAGTACAATTCGTAAGAGAATTACACCAGGCTACAACGAGCACCACACGCACGCACACACTCATTCACACACACACACACACGCACACGCACACAACACCTGGAAAAAACAGCACTGCAGCAATTCGCGGCAAGACAGGCGGACACACACGCACACACTCACACACACACGCACACACACACACACTCTCTCTCTCTCACACACACACACGCAACACACGCGCAACACACAGGGCAGACAGTCAGAAAATCATCGCGCATCAGGGGCGAGCCGAGACGAGTCCGCCGGTTTGTCTGATCTCAAGCCATTCCGCCTCCGTGCCGTCGGTGGTGGGGGAGAGGGAAGCCGTGAGTCTCCTTCGCTGCACCGGCTGCAGTAGCAGCGACGAGCCGCGGCGGTGCGATGTGCATGTGTGCCTCCCGTCTGCCTCTACAGCTCCAACACCAGCGGTGGCGCCTGATTTATGTACTTAACTGTAAACCATGTGGCGGGAGGGTTTGAGGAGGGAGGAGAGGAGGGAGGAGAGGAGAGGAGAGGAGGGAGGGTGATGCCTGGTTATTTTAGGAAACAGGGGGGAGGCAACAGGCAACATGAGAGTTGTAAAAAAAAAAAAATCAGTTCCTGCAGGTGGCTGAGTTTGACCAGCAGCAGCACTTGCTTGCAGGAATGAGTCAGTGTCAGCTTCATGAATGGGGAAAACCCAACTTGTGTGTTGCGCTTCACCCTGAGTGCTTCAAACAGGCAAGAGTGGATGTGGCTGGAATCAGGCAACACAGACCTCCCTCGGTTTGATGCTTTTTATTACGATGCAGCCGACATGTACAAATGGATGTTTGGCCTCCTCTGCTCATCATGTAGGGATGTATGGAGTGCCACCTGTGCAGCAAGTTCCCCACTTTTTGTTGTCAGTGTGAAAATGTATAGGAAGAAGTTCTATTTGACAGCCCTTTCTGACTTATGGCAGTGACAGGAGGCAGTTTCTCATAAATGACCTTGAGTATTATGACGAAGAATCAAAGCTATCGGGAAAACTGTTATCGCGAAATCATTGCGTTTCAGCCGGACTCATCTCATGAGAGCAGCAGTCGATAATTGTCCACCCTAATGACCAACGAGTCCTCTGAAGTAATTTGCAAAACATGTATTTTTAACATTGTTAATCGGTGTCTTCCGAAACAAGACCAGCCTCCAGTTGTTTGTGCAAGCAGCCTGTCATTCCGTTTTATTGTTGGCGACCTCTAGTGGTCAGGTGAGGCAGCATCAGGTGTTTCAGCAAATGCCCCACATTGTTTTTTTGTTAAACTTTCAAGCAACATTGTCCGCTAGTGGCTGATGTAATCATGACAGGAGCAAAGTAAGAGTCAGGTGCTGATGTTATAAAGTCTTATGTTCAGCATAAGGAGGAGGTCGGGGTCGATGGATGGTTCAACAAAACATGAAATAAGACAGCAATGTTCAGATCATGGTTCAGTGACATTGCATAATCGATAACGGTGTGTTTATTATTGTAACCATGGCAACAAAGTAGTTACTTTAACCCTGAACTAGGATCTCCCCCTAAATGTAATTAAGGTAATTTGTGCCCAGCCCTAAGCAAGCCCTGTATCTATATGAATATATGTTTATGTTAATTTATTATTCAAGAGTGATATTGAACAGTCTTGAACAGGCATATCTTCTGGACAAACTACCTTTATGGTTTTTCCAGTTGGAAGATTTGTTGCCAAAAATATTTAAAATCACATAATATCTGATGCTGCTACAGTTAAGGTTTCGTTAGTTTTAGGCATAAAAATTACCTGTTAGCGTCAGAGGACACAATTTGGGCGATTGTAACTACTTGTTGGGGAACCTTCACTGTCATAGTTTAAAGGACCCAACACTAACTATTGATTTTCTGTGTCCAAGTACTAAATGTTGTCTACCCATCCATCCACATTCACTTCCTGTCCTCATGGACTTTGAAGCTCCATAGTAACATCACACAGCAACAGTGCTAGTGTCCAACCGCATGCAACTAATCTTGTCTGTTCAAGTTCACACACAAGCTTCTCCTTGAGGCTGTCAACACTTTTTGTATAACTCACTCTCCCATATTACTGATGTGCGCTACGGGTATCAAAAGATGCAACACATCCAGTTTGGGATACCATCTGGATGTCACTAAAGAGGTTGACTTTGTCTGTTTAGTACCGGCTTTCAACAGTGTTAATGTAGCAAAGTTTGTTAACATCTGAGTGGCTGTTCTGGATGACTGTCTAATGGCATTTCAAAGATATAAAAGTCCCGATCAGGATGATGTTAGCTTGTGAAGCACTGATGTCTTGATATAATTTATGTCAAACTAAAAGTCCAAGTTGCAATCACGTTTAGTTTAGTGTTGCATGAGATAAAGAATAGCAGCATAGAATTTATTTTTTTTACGTTCTGCAGGTTCATTGACTAATGAAAATAAAATTGTATGCTTAGTCAAGCCTAGCCAGAAGTCTGCTATAAGTATGGTTTTAAAGGTGTGGTTTCATCAGTTAGGTCAACACTGGAATAGTCCTTCCAGACCTTCCATGCCATCTTCTCAGTTGAATTGCTTCCCAAGTATTCATTGCAACGAGATTGAGCGCCTATCAAATGAAACTGCATTGCTTCCATCAATGCTCGCTGCTTGTCTGTACTACCAGCTAGTGGCATGAAAAATAATGCTGAATTTATATTCAAATATAAACATAGTTGCAATTTGCATGCAGCTCTGTGTCCATCTCCACAACCATTACTGCTGTTTGAATTTCACCTGAGCCTGTCGTTGCGTCGATATGGAACACATACCACAAGAAGGAGTTGAACCGGAGCAGTGCAGTGATTCTTATCACATATTTGTACATACTGGAGTAATGACGTTATGAATTTCTGTAAAGTAACATATACAACGATTGCAAAGGTAGACTGTTTGTGCATACTTCAACAAAATAAAGACATTCATGCCCATGAAGCACTAAAAACATTATTTTTGGCTGCTAAGGCTTACAGTATCCCACCATCATTGTTCTGATATTGACAGATGTAAGACAATCTGCCCAACACAATTATGAAAGGATACCTCGACTGTCAGTACTTTAAGGTGAGATCCATGTTTCCTTTCTCAATGTAAAGGCTAATTTTACAATCTGCTAGTATCTTATTAACTTATGGAAGATCTGAATAGTCTATGCAGTTCTACAAACCAAAAAAATGAGATAAAGCATGTATGGCTGGCCTTTATAATGATCAAGACAAGAGCTTCAAAGTAAAGGTCATGAACTCACCCTTTAAACAACCAAAGGTTCGACAGGGTTAAACGTATTAGAGGGGAAGTGATTCCGCATTGTTCTGCTATAAAACTGAAAGAAAAGAGGAAGAGATATTGTGACTTTTAGACCTTAGTCCATCTCCAGCTCCAAAAATAATTCATTGTACGCTTCCAACAATATAACTCTCAAGCATCTTTAGTATAAAACACTGAAAATTCTATGCATTCAAATGGCATTCAATATTGCTCAGACTCATTCAGAGCCACAGAAGACTTAGAAAACGCATGTCGTACATCTATAAAACTACATTCTGATAGAAGGGCACATTCCAAGAGCTTTAAAAGGAGAAACTATAAGACCGTTCCAGCTTTTTAATTGTGTTTCTGTAGTGCACATTCCCCTTGAAATTTGCATCAAATTACCACAAAGTTATTACCACACAGTCAACCTGGGGCCTCTGGGTCCTCTCTAGGGCCCCGGCAGTCTGGGTCCCATAGACAATTGTCTGCTTCTTTTGGCAATACAGATTTGCATAAATAATGTTCTCTTACAATGTACCAACTAAGAGGAAACCTTATAATATTCCCCACAACAACAACATGAGGCGCAGTATCCAGCCCGCTCCGCTTCCTGCTTGCTGACCAGTTTCACAGACGAGGATTAAACCTCGTCCTGGTCCAACATCTCCTGGTGAACATCTCATCACTGGAAAATCAATTACTGCTCAGGATTAGGATTAACTCATGGCTGTTACACTGTAAATACCATTTGTATACTCTTGGGTTTACAGCGGTAATCATCGTCGAGGCCCCTTCCCAGTCTGTACATAAAGGGAAGTCGTAGTGTGATCTCATTGCATAAGTGTCGGAGGCTGTCGTTGTTGTTGACCCAGAACTTAATCCCGCTTTAGTAGACTCTGATTTTCCAAGCAGTGCCTCTTACGGTCGGAAGAACAGCGGCGGAGAAGTCGCATAAAAAGTAGGCCATGTACAGTCTCTACCTCTGCACCTGAATAATTTCTTGGCATGAGTAAAACCTCATTCACCAGTCTGCCAAACACGCCTCCTGAGCAAAAAGATGCAGCGGCCTTATTTGTTCTTATTTGCTGTCTTTGACTGTCAGGAGCTGTTCGCATGTATTTGCTGATTTAAATGACAAAGCTCCGACCCCGCTCATTGGACCACCGCAGGATTCACGATTTTCATTGAATAAATCGTTTCTTAGAATTCCAAGTATTTCCAAAAACTCTTACAAACTTCCGTCGCTAAGGAAACGAGATAAACAACCTCCTATTGTGCAAACTATCAGCTGAGCTGGAGTAGACTTCACAAAAGGCCTTTATCGAAGCACAAAACACGAGTATCAAAGTGTTTGTAGCTCATGCAGTGCCAACGGAGAGTCACAAATAGGGCGTGAGACGTTTCGGTATTATATCAAAAGTTAATGCATTACCCTTTGAGAGGAGGTCTTTTCATATTCAGCCATTCAGTGCCAAGCCAATGCAGATACACTGCACTACGATACAGCTGTCGTATGCAGGAATCCTCAACTGTACGCACAGTTCGCGGCAACATAAATACTTTATGGCTCGCTGGCCTGAGTGAGTGAGAAAATACTGTGTACTCATTCTCTTCTCCATCCAGAACAGTAAATCCTCCCCTCTGGAAGGGCTTAATTAAAGGCCACACAGT